ATCAACTTGTGTCAATACACAGATTCTGTATAAATACAGATTCTGAAAGCATGGGACAAGATTTTCAATGTCAAAGGGTTCTGGTTTCTGTTAGTAGTGTAGTTTCACAGTGTTACAGGGGGTGAAGGATATATGGTCTGTTTGTAAGGAATAAACTGCCTTGCATTGACTACACATGAGCGCTCTTTTGACAGGGATTTATCTTTATATTATTATCTATGAACAGATGTCTAATTACAGCCAGCTAATAATTCCCAGATGCTGTTTATCAACTCATACTTACTTCTTGCTTGTCAAGTGGCTATTTGGACAGTGCACAAAAAAGAACCTCCAGGAAAGGAAGTCGTGGCTTAAGAGATCCTCAATTATATAAACAAAAGCCCCGCAAAACATTTGCCATGGCCTCCAGGGGCTAAATCTTTCTCAGATGACAGCCAATGGGTTTTAAGTTTAATCACTAACAAGCATCAACACTTGAGTCTTCAGCTCCCCAAGCAATATTTCCCCACTGGTACCAACAGCTTTTATTGGAAAAACCTTCTTATCAAGGAGACATTGTAGTAACTTTTTAAAAGACTGAGAATGGAAAGCACTCCTGAAAATGAAACTGTCACTTTCACCCTTGCCATCTTACATTGAGGTGCAAAGTGACAAGCCGGCCCTTCATCAATCTTGTTAACCTTTCTACAAAATCTTCCAAAAAGAAACACATTGACCTGCCCCGAGAGGGAGACATTTACATCCAAGCTCCTGAGCTCTGACTGTGCAGCCAGTCACATCACTGAGAAATCTAACATGGCCTAATTGTGTCAAATCTATTTTAACCCAGCCTCTTTCTATGATGGCTTCACCGCTTCACAGGCTCATGGTCACTGCACCCATCCTTCACCTCGACTGATGAAAGTTGGCACCGCACTGCCGATACAACATCAGTGCTCTCAGCGTGAGACGCCCAAACGTTCCTGCTTTTAGTGAGTCTTTGGCCTCCTGTTCTTCTGTTCCAGCACCACTCTGCCATTCCAGCCCATCAGTGTTGACAATGTCAGGACAAATGCACTTAGAATTGACAGTTGTAGGAATGACGCAGAAGCAAAACGGTTTGGAATATGTCAAATAAATATCCAAATGGAGAGGTCACACAGAGGATTGGAATCTTTCTTGGAACATCCAGTGAAGGGCAGGAAAGGGAGGTCGTCTTGTCAGATACTAAATGCCATGAAAATGTCAGAGCGATGTCCCTGCCTCCCCAAAGGTCTTCTCTAACAAAGGCCTTTTGCTCAATCTGATGTTTGTGAGCAATGCGAGTTTGTTTACGGTAAAAGAAAATCCCTAAAACCTAATGAGATTTCAGATAACCAGACAGAGAATGGCACCAACCTGTTCAATGGAGATCCATTGTTCTGTGTTCCACAAATAGACTGCTAGTTAACACACTTAACCTTAAGGCTCAATACTGAATCTCAAGATCCCAGTGGTATCCAGGAGATTTTGAGTGCACATGCTGCAGCCGCAGGGTTTGTGAAATTTATAGGATTTTCTAGGACACCTGCAGCATTTTAATGCATTGAAGTCCTGTTTACACCCTCCAAGACTTTTTGTGTTACAAGGCAATGCACATACGTGATTTGCCATTTCTAAGAGCTTTGTAAAAATGTACATTTTTGATTGGTGTGAGGAAAAACCAAGGCCTACATCTGATGGAGCCTCCTCGAAGGTAAAATGGAAGTGACTGTATCATGAAATGATACATTTTTTCTTATTAAAAGCCATGGACCCTGTGTCTGTGAAGACTGTTAGGCGAAACATTTAATATGAAGAAAACAATCTTCAGCCTGTGAGAGATTTCAGAAACAGAAAGAATACCAAAAGTTCAATTCAGTTCCTCAAGTTTTATGCTGCTTCAAGCTGAATCGTAATTGTTGACAGGCTATTCCCATTAACTAGATACAAGAAAATGATGTTCATATCTGTAATTGTTTTTAATGGGATAATACATATAGAGAAATACATGTTGTACTTGCGTCACAGTCTTCTCCCTGTACATTCTGAGCTCATTATCTGCTGAAAAGGTCATTGAAGAGTTTACACCATGTGACAGTTTGAGACGTTAATGGGGAACATGTTGCTTTAGCTTGAATAATTAAGTCTAAGAGTCTTGGGATAAATAATGAAAGACCAGTGCCTATAAAAAAACATATTCCTGGTTAAAAATAAAACAAAAAGAAAGATTAATTTGTAGTTAAACTGAGAATTACTTTGTTTTATCAGAGCCAACAGAGAAAGAGGTCAAATTTAACAACACGTCATTATAAATATGGCCTACGTTATGTTTTATTGTGATTCAGTGTGCATTCTGTTATGTTGGAATTTCTCTGTGGGCTTTATCCACAGCAAAACGGTTGAGGTACAGTAAGATTCCTTCTTTGTTTCTTATCAAGAATCTTCCATTTCTTACCATACAGAAAGACTTCCTAGATGTGAAGAAAAAAATCCAACTCTATGTAGATAAAACATGGCCAATTTCCTCTTTCTATTATCCCATTAGGAAAGAGGATAAAATGGAATCCAATATTCTGTCAGGTCTTGCAAACTAAGCATATACTGTATTTCCTCCCAACCTAAAACTTTTGAATTTTAATAGTAGCTTTAGATGCCCGTAGATGGTGGGCAAATGTGCATAGGGGATATTAAAATACAATCATATCAGCAGCATGGGCACAGAGATTTAAACAGCACCTTAAGAAATACAGGGCAAACTCAGTGAAGCATAGTCCCCTTTATGTGTGTGCAGACAAAAGAGTGTGAATATGTAGATTCTAGATTATGACGCCTGTGAAGAAGCAGCTGATATGCGAAATTCTTCAAAGCTGTCACGATTAATTTGGTCCCCCATATCACCCTGTCCTATTTTCTCTCTTAGTCCAGTTCCAGGTCAGTGGTCACAAGTCACACCTAATTCAGGTCATCTTCTAATCCGATAATTATTTTTTTGTGCTGTTTGCAACAGTCCGTCTCTGCTATCTGAAACGTCTACAGTACATTGAAAAAAAAGCTGAGGAAAGTCTTTGGAAATTTGATTTATTGTAGTTTTTTTTAAAAATCAGCTAACACAAGATAAGGGAATTAAAGTGAATTTTAAAATGTCATATATAACTGTAAATCATACAAATTTAACAGGTCACATTATAACATATTCATGATGAAAATAGGGGTGACATACTGATGGTCCATATGTTCATATGTTATCTTTGACATTTGAAGCTCTAAAATCTTTCTACTGTCTGACATTTATACTTCCAGACTGTTCCATTTGAATTATGAGTTCTGATTCTGGTGAAGAAGTTGACATTTAAATTAGCATTATTTAATTTTCTTTTTTCATGTGTCTGTGTAAATAATAACAAAGAATAATTTCACTGCACTGTGTTGAAGAGTCATGTTTTTGTGTTCGATTATAAGAAATGTATATTTACAGTTTGGAAATACTTTTAGTGTGAACATGTGTATGGATGTCATCTAGATCCATAGAGATGGCATCAACATTTGCAAACACACTAACTAACTTATATATATAGCAAAATAAATAAAATTATATAACAAAGACAAGTTTACATTCTGTAGAGTGATAATTTGTTGTAATCCGTATAGCACAGTCTGCTGGTGAAAGAGAACTGCTATTGTAATACAATGGAACTTCAATTAAATCATATTTGACTAGTGAATAAATCTAGTAATATCGGCGCATATCTGCGATAAAATTAGCAGATACCGATACCGATGTACTTAAATCAGCCGATATCATCAGCTGGCCGATAAATCTTTGGGCTCTTAGTTTTAACCCATTTGATAAAATAAGATAAGATAAGATAAGATTTTATTCATTCAAAAATGGGGAAATTTACATTGTTACAGAAAAATAAAAATATTAAAAATAAAGATACAAACTATAGATCAGCTGAGAGCTGCAGTTTTAACAAATGTAATCAGAATATTCAGTGGTAAGAACACTATCAGAACACTAATCTTGAATAAACTGTCCGATATCAATATAAATAAAATAACTGAAGACAAAAAGATACTGAGAATGTAGGACACAATTAGGAGGTTTACCTTCAGTTCCACAGGATCTGAAGTGACATTTTAATTATATGACTGACAAAGATAAATCAGGTTCTAGGTAACTGCCGTCCTCTGTGGTCTCGCTTTTGTAATGAAGCTCTGGTTGCATTCATTCTTTCAAAATTGAGAGGCATTATTGCAGAATACTATATATGCACTCAGAGGAAGATTATATTCAAAAGGATGTTTCTGTATGATAATGTAGCGATATTTCCTTGACTACCCATTATAGCAAACACAGAAGAGAAGCACAAAACACCCTCAATGCACTCCTCGGGGAATGGATAAAATGTACATTAAGGCAGATGCTAATGATGTGCATTTAAGGGTGGGACGCATTGTAATTTGAATAAATAACTGTAAGGTTTTACGATTTATTCTATTCTATAATGATACTCTACTGTGGGTTTAATGGATCATAAAGTAAATGCTTTAAAGGACTTCCACAGCTTCAGAAATCATAATCAGTGCTTTAATATTTGGAAAATTCCCATTGTAATGGACAATCAAGCTAAAGCAATCACTGCACTGAATTAGACTGTGGGAAAAAACAATCTGAAAACTGGGCACCAGTCAAAGAAAGGATATTTCTGTTGAGCTGCACTATGATCATAGATTTTTAACAGTACTGCTTTATGAACTGGACTACCAATAATATAATCATGAGAGTGCTGCTGACCAGGCAAGATCAGTGAGTCGATACAGAAATTAAAGTCTGCAATAATGAAGGAGGAAAGGAGCCGGGCCAAAAATGACAAACTAAAAGAGCTCCATCTTTCCATCCCCACCCTTTTCACACACACACACACATACATACACCCAAATGCACAGTCTCACACAAAGGCAGGGAAATCACGTTACCAAGCATAAAAATTTCCCACCTGCTGAAGTTGGTTCCTCACCATCTGCCGCTGTTGAGACACAGAGGAGGACAAGAGGGATGAGGGGGAGGGAAGGAGAAACATTATATTAGCTTCATGTCACAGTATTCAGTGCTGCAGCTGCATATACAGTAACACTGCTGATTCAGCTGTATTCTTAATCACACTGTGCACTAGCATTGTGTGCAGTAACATTTGACATGTTTGCATCACATAGATTATAGAACATTCATCCAGACACACCTGCTACCTGTAGGGTGCTGCATCCTGCCAGCAGAAATGCTCCACGCTGTTTCTATGGAGCGTGACCTGGCACTGTGTCATAGCCCATCCCCCATTCATACACTGGAATGATGCTATGTCTTGGTCGCTGGCCTTTGACTAATATGTGTTCATCATTCTGGACCAATGTAGGATTAGACCCCGTGGCATACATACTTGTTTGCTGCATGCCTGCTTCCTATAAGCTCCCAGTCGGGCTCTGTAGCTGAGATTTGGCCTGTCTGCCATCATTACCACAACCCTCTAACTCCATCATCACTTGTAAAATTGCCCTGAAAATGTGGCCTGAAGCCTGATACAGCTCTAGAGGCAAAAGGCCGAGGGTACTAGATGCATTGGATGACAAATAAAATCGACATTACCGCTGGGGAGGATCAGTAATATGTTACATTTGGAAGCACTCATTGGATTGATGGATGAACAAACATCAATGTATTGGGATTTGGTGCTCTGAAGTCCACATTAAATATGCATGTCTGTTATTTCTCAATAGCTAATGATACTGCCTTGCAAAGAGGCAGCTTAATTAAAGTATGATTTACTGTCATGCACATGTTTCCTCTCACAGCTTTGAATGCTAATTCCATATTAGCATATGTAGAGGGTTAAGGCCACATAGATCATGAGGCAAACAGCGAGACAGTTACGGATGGCAGAATTTGTTTGCAGCTGCAAATGGACCGAAATCCATCTTCGAAAAACTAATCAAGCCTCATTTCTAGACATAACACAGAGAAACATACACAGAGTAGATTCATCTGCTCTCCTCAAACCAAATAGTTGTTCTCTGTCGGTCTTCCCCTGTGGTGTTTTTGGACGTGAAAATAAAATCACTCCACAAAGTGCTCTCAGAGGGTTTTAAAAACTTTTATATTGCCAATCTAGTTTAATGTGGTGCTTTAATTCTGGGGGGTCTACATTCATGTTCGGTGAGAAAAGCTGAGCTGACTGTTTTGACAAACTTAGGAAACCTCTAAAACAAATGATTTCCACTCAGACATGCAGCCATGATTCTTTTTCTCAGCAGCTGCGAACCGAAGGGGGAAAATGATTCACTGAGACACCATTGTGATGAACATACAGAATTAAAGAGTGAACCGCAGCCTTTCAAAAGTGCCTTAAATGTGAGCGAAAGCTCAAATTGAAGTCACAGGCAGCCAAAGCCGAGCACTTTCCCAACCTCTCATCTGTCTGCCAGTGAAAGCTCTCCTTTGTGATTTCCCATGCACACGGGCCAGTGTGTAATCCCAAAACCAAGCACATTCCACGCTTCACTTACTCGACTGCGGTTTTTCCTTCTGCCATTTCCTCTCTAGCTTACCATAGGGGTCAAGCCGCACACATGCAAGCCCACAGACAAATACTGTATACAGAGTTCACACACAATTACACACCCACAAAGAAGAAAAACACATCAACAAGCGCCTACGAGGGCAGACAACTATTCACACCCACGTACAAATAAACATGTGGAAATGATAGAGATACATAAAAGGAAGGTTTTTAGTGGTTTATCCAAGTGTTAAAGTGAAAAATCAAATGAAAGCAAAATATACCGACTGTTAGTTGTAAGTGTACCACGCTGGGGATCTTCAACTGTTCATGTTCCCTAGTTCAGTCATAACACCCCCATGCAAGTTGCATCAATTTTTCACATGAAAAATTACCATCCTTATCTAACACTGATATAATATCGCTACATTTATATGATGAATAGATACTCATTTGGAAAGAGTGTTTTCTTCTACTTAATCAGTGAAACTTCATACTTGTAAGCGCACAGTGGGGAACACTTTCTGTGTAAATGACTTACTGCTAGACAGTTGCAGACTGGCTTAATCTCCCACACATGCATGCAGTGTGTAGGAGGTAAATCCGTAGTGTTAGCATGACTAAATGAGACACTCAAAGGATCTATGTTTACACTTTTCTCACAAGTACAGTTTTGGAGTATGGAGATTTTTTAGCTGTCTTCTCAAGGAAACGAAAAGAAGCGATAATGTGATGTTTAAAAGCAAAAATATCGATGAAAGTCAAAAAAGGTGGTTGGATGTGTGAAGATTCATGTCCTATTTTGTAACCACAAATATCTCGTGAGCTGACCCACATACATTTCAACACGGAGCAGGCATATTTTGTTTTTGGAGATGTTGAAAGATTCATATGCTTTCTTGGAAGACACACAGAAGTAACTTATTTTGTTCTTTTGGCTGAGGACTCAAACATTGCAATATAATTTGATTGCAATGTTTGTTTGTTTTTTTTAAGTGTTTTTAAGGAAGTCAAGAACCCATTCATGGTTGTTTTGTTCATATCGTATATAGTCATGTACACAGTACCGGTAAATCTCACAGGGGGATGCTGAGAGCAGCTGTTCTGTGAATTCATACATTCCTTAACGGATTACTTTGATTCATCTGTTTCCCCCTGTTGAAACCTCTGCCACAAATATTCTGGTGGTTATGCTTTCTATATTGTGTAACATTCCCACAGAAGAAGAAAGCAAATCAAAGGCAATTGTAAAGGCTTTGATTCAGTGGGCTATGCTTGTATTTGAAAGTTACACCTTGTAATTAAGAGACAAAAAAAACCTGCTTGTTTCAACCATATCCTGATTAGATGGCTGCCAACATGAACCTCTTTTAAGACGCATTCACACTAGGCCCAGTTGTCCTGAACCATGCCTAAGCACGATTACCTCCCCCTCTCGATTCCACCACTGGCCTGCACTCACACTGCTGCAGGACTATCCGGGCCTGAGCACTGTTACCTCTTGTACATAAAGTCGTAATACAACACATGCATGGCTTTACGTAATTATGAAGCGTGCTTAGTTTACAAGACAGACAGACTCGAAAATGAAAAATAAATAAAAAATTAAAGGCATGCACGGTTGAGTCCGCATCCACACATCAGAGGAAACAACAGAGAATATGACAGCTACTTTACTGATTTTGTGTCCTCTTTGAGTCTTTTTAGTCAGATACAGCCATAACACTCCGGGATTTCTCGATGATGTTGTGTGACCATGCTTGTGCTCGTGCATTAATTGTACCGAGCCTACAAGCACAGCACACCTCTTCCAAGCTTGCCAGGGATAAGGAAGTGTTCCATGCTTGAGCACGGATCAGAGCATGAATCAGAGCACTCACACTAATCAAACAAAATGGTATTGATTGCCTAATAATATAGTCATAATATTATAATAACAAGAGACCAATATAGTCAGACAGACACATTTTTTTTAACTTTCTGTACAACTCAAACTTCCCTCATGGTTATACCTCATAGACAGCACTAACAAACCTGTTAAACATGGAAGGTTCTGGAGATGTCTATGTTAAATTGCACCTCCTCCTGCCCATGATGAGACTTCTTCCTGGGACATACACAGTTGGTTTAATCTGACTGACAGCCGGGAGGCAGTAATAACCATCCATAATCTAAATGGGAAGCAGGCAGCTTGTCCAGCATGGGGGCGATATGACCTCAAGGTGTTCAGAGGAGATAGAGAGAGCACGGGACCAGCTAGTACCTAAACTCTTGAAAACACACACACACACACACACATACAGCACAGAGCAGGAAGGACATGTATGTAGTAAAAGTCACATATACTGTAGATGAAACTTGACAGGTTTGGGTTTTACAAAATGCTGTTTGTTTATACAGTGTTGGTGATTTAGAATGCCTTGTTAGATCAATGACCTGTTTTGCATGCACACACTTACCCAATCACTCAGTATTCATTATATCAAATCAATAACAAAATATGGATTTAAAATACATTTAAAACAACAACAGCGCAAACAAAATTGACATTTTTTTGGCGTAAGTGACCTCAGTCTTATAAAACCAATTTTTACAAAAACAATGTCAAGTGTATAACACAGATTCATTATTCCCTCTATAGACTGCTTTTCTTTAAACCTTAACTATCAGATGATTACATGAACATTCAGCAGTTAGAACTAAACTCATTTGTTCTGTTTTATAAAGTGTAAAATCAGGTGTACACTGCTGCATTCAAGGCCACACAAGATGAACCCGAGTTCTGAATCAAATTCTAATACATGGATTTTTGTGGCAGTGGATGCTGCCAAGACAGACAAACACAATCGTGAACAACTTTGCTCATTTGAACAAGCGTGCATCTGTATTGGAAATGTGTCGAGGATATTCAGTGACACAAAATTAGAAAATACTTTTTACCTTATATCAAACAGAAGAATAATGGAGTTCCACTTTCTATTAACAGTTTACCATCTCTATTAGGATATTGAATAGAGAACAAAACAAAAACCTGACATTTTGCTTCATAAAGTATTTCAACTACCATCACAATACATTAAGTTATTTTAGTTAATCCAACCAGTGCCAATAGTAAGGCTCAGCTGTTTCAGTTGTGGATCTAAAGAGGATTTGATCAGCCAGCTAAAAACTCTATGTGTACTTCAGTAAAATATGAAAATAATAAATCTGATCTCGCTACAAACATAATGACATGTCACATACATAGCTTTGAAACGTCATTTTTTAAACCAAGTTGGCTACAAGACCTCTGGTAATGCATCACCAAAGAAGGTGAGATTTACAGAAAAGATGGTCGATGTGATATTCCTATGAGGTGCCAAAGGAAATGTCATTCAGTGAGTAAGAGTGTGAAATGCATTTTGATCACCTCTGATAAATCATGTGACAGTATCACAGGCTGACAGACACCTTAGACAAAAAAAACACATTAGAGA